TTCGCTTTCTTCTGGGTCATGTGAAAAGCTCTCTAAAGGAAGATGATATTTGGTGTGCACAAAATTATTTTTATTATTTTACATGAAAATCATGTCTTCTGTAAAAACTTGTTAGTTCAACATGGCGGACTCTGCAGATGATCGTCCTAAGTGTTACACACTGGACTTTTAACTACCAACACCTCTGTTGGATAAACACCATCCACCCTCAACATGTATTTAAATGGATCTTTGTTATTCTTCTCTTCCAGAGTGACCAAAAACCTCCCATTCCGCAGTCGCACCATGACTCCACAGGAGTGTTTCCAGACATTTATCCACGCTATATTTTATGTGGGCAAAGGAAAACGCTCCCGCCCCTACAGCCACCTGTATGAAGCTTTAGAGTACTTCAAAGGAGACAAGACCTCCAAGGTAATGCAGTGCACACTGATCAGTCTCATGTAAATAAAGATATAAATAGATGTATAAAAGAAAATTATACGCAGATTTATAAAATACTGTCCCTTTCTTCTCTGCGTGACAGAAATTGTGTCCCAAAGTGCAGCACATCCTTCAGGTGTGGAACGCTGAGCAGGGCGTCATCTCTCTGCATTGTTTCCAGAACGTAATTCCAGTGGAGGCTTACACAAGAGAGGCCTGCATGGTGGAGGCCATCGGTGAGTACGAATCTCTGTTAACAGTGGTCCATCGGAGAACTCCTGTTTGAATGCTCATTCACACCATTCTGCTTTGTATCAGGGTCTTATATCACTCCAGCATTTGCTATAAATTAAGTCAATGGGATGATCAAAAAGCTGATATTGTCTTATACACTAGCTATTTGATTGACTGGGTCAACTGTGTTCCTTAAACACCAAGTTAATGGATACATTTAGCATGTTTTTTCATTGTTTTCTTTTTGAAACTTGCAAGCACTGGCTGTTATAGGTAAACTCACCTTTTCACAATTTTCAAGTAATAACGTAACGTAAAGTGAAACCAAAGTACCTGTAATCTCACAAATACCGTTGACATGTTCATATATTGAGCATAGATATTGATAGGTGCCAGTTTTTGACACTGGACATTGTTTATTTATGTAAAAACCATAAACTCGGAGAACACTGATCTTACGCCAGTCCAGAATGTCAACAACTTACTTAATTCTCCATTTGTCCCAGGGTTGAAGATGCTCACCAATCAGAAGCGAGGGGATTTTTATGGCGTGGTGTCCAACTGGCAGCTGAAGAAGAAACGGGAGCTGGGCATCCACCTGCTCTACCGAGCCATGCAGATCTTTCTGGCAGAGGGTGAAAGGCAGCTCAGACCAGCAGACATCAGACAGTAGTGACCCCCACTGGTTGGGGGTATGAACAGCAGCAAATTGCCAATGCACAGAGGGTAAAATAGCACTACTTCAGGGTACAAAACAACCCTCCTTTGAACAATTTTGCACTCAAACGTTGGGTGGGGATCCTCTGAGCTGTTACCCAGCATTTAATTGTCTTTCTGCTATAAAATAATTCTCCATCCTTCAGCAATATACCATTTGTTAAGCATATGACAGCCTATGATAATATTTACATCCTTTGAACAGTGATGGTAATTTGGCTTTTTTTCTATTTTAAAGTGACTACTTAAAGATTCCACTTTGGAAATTGTGTTAATAATGAAGCTGCCTGATTTTTTTTTTTTTGTATGTATATTTCATTTGTATTTCCTCATTACACTGCTTTTAACCGGCCCACGTGACAAAAATAATGATTCCACAAAAAACCCAAGGGAGTAATAATATAATTGTGCATGAACATGATGTGAAAGTCAAAATTGTGAGGCTGCGGGTCTTTACGAAGTCACGACAAATCAGCATGACAAACTTATTTTACAAAAACATTCTTCCCAGTAGGACACTTTTCTTCACGATTGCTGCAGTACTAATGACTTTTTCAAATTGATCCACAACCAATTTCAAATGCCTTTCAGCATAATCAAATTAACTGGTGTCATATTGCACATAAACAAGTCGATGCATGATGTCGTAAAAAAAAAAAAAGTTCCAAAGAAGCTGGGAGAGTGGAATTAACAAATTAGGTCTGGCAGTGAGTCACGCTATTTTTGTAGTGTTAAAAAAGATGACGGGGAATTTAGCAGAGGCTGATAACTGGTATGCTGTATGATAGGTTGTTGTTTTTTAAGAAACTTAATGTGTAAAATGTGATAGAATTTGTTTACATGGCTTGATTTCCAGTTTTGTTGTGCCAATTTGTTATTTAAAAAAAAAAAGAGCATTACAGGCAAGCCAATGATATGATAGTGTCCAATAGTAATACTTACTTGTATGTGTCTGATTCTTTGTGTCAGTATAATGAAAGTATAAGTATAATGAAACTGGGTGATTAAGGATGTCGGTAGTATATAAGATGTTAAGATCAGTGGACTGTTTGACAGACAGTTTGTTAGTTCACATCATTGGGTTACAGCTGTCAGTAATTGTCATAATCTACATAATTTTGTTAGCTAGTAAAACTAATGAAAAGGGGATCTTAATTGGTCAAAGAAATCTCAAATTGAAGTCACTTTTTACTTGAAAAGTTGTCACAATCTCATCTCATTACTGTCCAGGGTTGTGAACTTTTTATTCCATTTGTTATCTCCTCAGGGTAAAACACTTTTGATTTTCATTATTGAATTATTCTTTATTTCACACAAAAGGCATTAATACTAATAATTGAAAATCATCCTCAGGTTGAACAAGAATCAAAGCATGTGCTCAACCTATAGGGTGAGTAAAACACCTGATCTATAGCATTGACTTTTTTTAATGAAATTCATTTCATGAAAACAATTACCTGTAATAATTAATTGGTTTTTATAGTTCTTAAAATAAACCCCCTTCATTGGGCTCTGTTTAGTATGTTTTCTTGATTGATTTTCAAAACGTCTTGTGTAACAATGCATGTAAGAATTTCTACATACATATAATGATGTGCTCTATATATAATGACTTACTTCTACTGTTATTTCTAAACATTGTCTTACCCCTTTTTTCATTTATGTAAATGTAGTAAAATACAAATGACAAACTTAGCTGGATGACGCTTTAGTCCTTTTCACATCCTGTTCTTTGGTGTCCCTCTAGTGGACAAACAAAGTCATTGATTTTGTTCTTCAGTCTAGAGTTCTAGATTCTCTTCTTGCAGTAACTGGTCTTCATCGACTTTAATGCATTAGCATTAGTGTGTGAGGTTAATGTTGCAAACAGTTCTTCCTTGCTGAGCTGTATGTTGTGGTCAAGCCTAATACCCCTATTTAACAAGATATTCAACAACTCAATTTCATTTTCACAACCTTAAGTTTATTTCAATTTTTGTGAATCAGAGAAGCGATCTGTACAAATGTTTGCAATTTTGGCTACTGTGCAATTCTGGCCACAAAGCTTTGTAAGAATGGATGGCTTTTTTTCTTGTTTAAATGATGACATCTAATTTGGAAATAATGGCCTTCAGTTACTGTTATCATGAGTCAACCAGTTTCAAAGAACACCATTTTTTTGCTAGTGGTTAGCCAAAACTTTCTTACAAGCATCAGTGTGGTTTTTACAATAAACACTATGATGAGGCATTATATTACTGAGCAGGGCTGTGTATCTTATCTAAATATTTGCTTTTCCATGCACACATTGAAATTTGAGATAATGGTCTTACATGAGCAGAATTTTTTTTAATAATATATGGGCATAGTCATAAAACAGCAGCGTATTAAAAATATATATATATATATATTTCAAAGATTGGCGATACTGTACATGTCCAATACTATATTACAAGACTAATATGAAAACTTAAAATTACTGTTATAACCCATGTGGTGCATAAATGAAACTAAAAGTCCAAATAAAGAGGGGTTTTCCAGTTGCACCAGCACTTCTGCTGGTCAAGCAGTGGTTATGATACAGAATCAGCACAGTTCGGTTTTTCATTGAAATACTGCACAGGTACTTTCCCAGCTACATAGGACAGAAGCCTGCAGAAACAAGCATATAACTCTCTGTTAGAGTTAGTACCTAATTAAGTATGCGTGTTTTATCAGCACATTTCTATCATTTACAGACTGAACCAAACAGCAAGTAAACATGGAAGGACTGTACTGTGTCACTGTAATCATTTATAGAGGAAAAGACAAATGAGCTTAGCATATGCACACACACGCACACAAAGAAGAGTCCCAGTGTAGACTGTATGCAATATATTTTGCTCATGAAAATACAAATGATTCAAGTTTGATTTACTGCAATTATACTATGTCTCAAATTGTATTTTGCAAAATGTGCTGGAGCAGGATAAGCAGCTGGCTATAACTAAAACTATTTCATATTAATTTTATTTAGATTACATCTCTCATCTTAGATTTTAATAAAATTGAAATGCCATTTAACCCGACATGATAGAAAAAATCTGAATCTTATAATTACGTAGTCTAGTCTATATTGAGGTTTAATTGAATTTAGGCAAATAAAGAGGCGTAACAGTGGAGAAATTAGTATGAATTGTTTGCATTTTGAGTCCTAAAAATTTTATAAACATTGTTGTCATTGTCACTTGCAAGTTCTTTTTATTTTAACATCTGACTGCTCAGCCAGCTTGTTGGGATTGTGTGTGCATAACTGTAGTTATTTAACCAAAATGAGTATATATATACACACACACACACACACACACACACACACACACACACACACACACACACATAGCTATATATAAAGGTAATTTAGCAATTGTTCAACATGTTTCTTGCAGTATGAAAAAAGTAAAAAAAAATAAAAAATAGCCTATCAATATTCAATATATTTAGTGCTTTGATCACTACCATTAATCTACAGCAGATTGTTTTTACATGAATGAATTTACTTAATGTTTAAAGGACAGGGATTTGACTCTGTTACATTCATTCTCGTCACTTTTACATCTCCTCTAACCAAACCAAAGAACAAAGGAACAAAGAAAGACCCACAACATCTCTTAGGGCTGAACTGGTGGTGACAGTTTATTTGATAAAATACAACAACATGGAATAGCATGCATCAGTATTACACAGTTAACATAACATAATGGTTCTTGAATGGTGTGCCAGGCAGCAATGAGACATGGATGAAAAACAACTATATATTTTATTCTACATAATATACAGCCGTGTTCCAAAATGACACGTCTACATTTGAAAGCTGTGGAAGTATCTGTTCTACCAAACTGACTTCAACATTAAAAAAAATTATGGCTTTTTAAAATATTTAGATTTACATTGTATTTATCTGTCCGTCTTATCTTGAAGAATTCGGCTGATAAAATGATGACTTTTAATGTCTAAATTCTTTTTCATCCAAAAAGGTCACTTACCATGTTGGGATTCATCTGTATATATTCAACATATCCTTGCGGTTTATTTTTCATGTAATATTTACAACAACTAAATCATTTATCAGCTCATAGAAGCAATGCAAGCCATGTATAATCGGTGTATTTTTCTTTAAAGGTCATTTTCTTCCAACTATCTCTTATCTCTTTTTTTCTTCCTCTGTTGCTGTAGCCAGACTCGGACCCCCCGCCCCAGCAAGCGTGATCGAGATGCAATCTGAACTGCCTGTCAATTCACACCGCCTGTATGTGCCTGTTGTTGGTAGGAGGCGAGGGGGGGGGGAGAAAGGCGAAGAAATAAATAATGCCATCATCAGCATATCGTGATGCTATTCCTTCTGACGTTCGGATGAAATCTGGGACACAGTTGCATTCATCGTTCAGTGAGCTCTTCCACACAGTTAAACCCACCGACAGCAATGAATGTTGATTGTGACCTTTGCTGTGGTTTGGAAGCTGGAAGTATTTTTTTGTTTGTTTGATTGTGGAGGATAGACATAGTGCTCTTCATACAATTGTTCAAAGAGTCATTGGCCATGCCTGTGTGCAGGTTTCTACATAAGGTTTGACTCTTTTTCCTTCTTTTTTGAGATGCTGAGTGACAACGGCTGGCCACAGGGTACAATCAACGGTCGATGGTTTTTTCAATTTAGCTGAAAACTCACCGACAGCGTTGAATGTTCACTGGGGTGAGCACAGACCTGATGGTGACCAGGGATGACAGTCTGCTTAGAGATGCAGAGGGAGCAAGTCTTCTCTGTGGGTGGAGAGGCTTTTAACTCACACCCTCTCTCACTAAATCCCTCTTTCATTCTCTGAGCGGGAAGAACACTGAAAAAGTCATGAGTGTTAATGTACTTTGATGATGCTATCTCTACAAATGTCTAAATTAAATATATTCTGTATCTATTTACATTAGAGGTCTTACTTAAAGAGTTTCCAAATGCATACCATTTATATATACATGCATACATCATGCTTTTTGTCCAAATTCTAGTGTTGGTCATTTACATACTATACCTGTCGATAAGAAACAGGGAAAAGGACTGATATGAGAAAACAAACATGCAGAAATATAAAATTAATTTTATTATTGATTTATTACCCCACCTCTTCTTCAACCGTGGCAACTTCCGTGACACATGGTCATTATGACACCAAATACAGTATAGGTGTATGGGACCACATTTTATTTCACTGCAAGTAGCAGTTAGAAGAGGGAAGTCATCTTGAAACCCCTGACTCATACCGAGTTTTAGTAAACAGCACCTGCAGCTAGTTGTTGTTTGCTGTATTGAAGCACAGTGGCGCGCCCTATAGAGAGGAACCAGCAAGCCCCGAGGGCTTCATGCAAGGTGGAGGGTGAGGAAGACACTGTGTATGAAACTGTCGACTCACCTAGATCAATAGTGTTTGTTGTTTCGCTATGACGTGGCACTGTGGTTGAAGACTAGGGTGTTTTTTTCCCTTTTGTACTAATACCAGTAAAGGAACTGTCCACCATCTTGCATGATAGGTTTTCTTACGCACTGCTGAATCATTGTTGCTCATCACAAGAAAAAAAGCACAGAGTTTGTGAGAAGCACGAACATCAAATGCCACAAAGCTGCTGTAGCAATTACATACGACGTGACAATAAAACTGTGGCGGTGAGTCAAAATGTGGTTGGAGGATAAATATGTTGCTGGGTCTCTTTTACAGAGCAGGATAAGGAGTGACTAAGATGAGGCGGTGGATATCTCATTCCTTGCCAGATACTCATTTCATACAGAAAACGTAGAGTTAAAAACAACACCATGACTGATAGCCTTTACTATTAAGCACAACACAATGAGTATGAGACTTTCTACTTAAAGAGCAGACTGCTTTTGTTCTCTCTTTTGAAACTTCTACTTACGTCATTTCCTTTGTATCTCTATTATTGTATTACTTTGAAAAGTAAAAAATATTACGAAGAATAATAATAATCTCAACTCAAAATAACTCTTGCTAGGTGCTGACACGTCACCCAAGCTCAGACCGAAAAGCACAGTCCTTGCTATGAGGGACACCACTAACTCGGCCTCTTCCCACTCTCCCGAACAGTGATTTGAGTGACAGTGTTGGAATTGACAGAAGTGGATGAGAAGGAATGTTGCTTTATAAGGTCTTCTCTGGCCGCAGGATGAGGGTGACAGTAGGAAGAAAGATCCGGGACACGCAACTAGAGAGAGAAGAGCCCTGAGCTGACAATGTGGCCCTAATCTGAATGACAAGGTCTGCACATCAGCCCTCAAACCAGCCTGGCTCGGGTGGGGGTGGTGGTTGATGATGAGGAGAGAGGAAGAGAAGGGGGAGAGTGAGAGGAATAAGAGGAGACAGAGGGGGGAGGAGGGAGAGGGCAGGCAAGGGTGTCCTTCCTTCAAACATGCTGGCCTTAATGGCACGGACAGCTCTGACATTTAACCAGTGAATCATTTTTAGATAAGTGGATGTGGTGGTTTATGTGGGGAGAGTTGTGACTTGTAAAAATTTCAAGAGGCGTTTTTGCTGGCTAAATATAAAGAGCTTTGAAAAACACAAGAAAAAAAACTTCAGCCAAGGAATAATGGTTATCACAGAACATGGTCCATCTCTCTGATACAACTTAAATTCAAGGACAAGGGTAGATTGGAGAGATGAGAAGCACGTTTGTGACTTTAAGAGGCAGTAAATTGCTGGACCAGTTTGAAAAATCTGTGCAGGAGATGTGAAGTGATGGCTCACCCTTATTTAGTCACCACTGTTGAGGTTCTCTTGAGTAACAACATAACCCACAGTTGGTTCAATGAAGCTGCTCGGCAGAAAACCACAACTGTAATGGGCATCTCCCAAAGGGGAATTACAACTATGAATGTGACACAAGACACCACAGATAAAGGCTACATATGCTGCGCAGACTGTGAATGAAAGGAAGCCGTAAAAATTAAAAAAAAATAAATAAATAAAAAAATGTCATGGCTGTTTAAAGGAGCGTTAACAAAAGCAAACTAGCAGAACAAGTTTGCGTAACGGATACTGTCAAAGATTTACAATTAGTATTGCGGACCTTGTCAAAACACCCAAGTAATTCCAGAAAGACAAATTATACAGGAGGTGATCGAATTACTCCAAAATAACAAAAGAACCATCTGTACTCGATATTACAGTAGCGTGTGAATGTGGCGTTCCTTTTTTTATGTGGAAGGATAACCTTTCATCAACTGGGGTTTAAGGGAGAATGTTGGGCTAAAAATGTGGCCAACCAAAGGAGGGGGCACATCTCTGAGTTCTCACTGTTATAGGTGTAGCCTTACATCATTGTGTTTCCATGAAGATAATTTTAGATAAACAAAAGCTTGAAAAAAAAAAAAAAAATGTTGATAAAACTAAAACAAAAACATCTCTGAGGCGAAGTTGTTATCATAAAATTGGTTGAAAATGAAAATAAAACGCAAAAACATTTCCAGTAACTGTATAACACGACACCACTGACTGACTGGCATCCGTGACCCACCATCGGAGGGCCGTTTTAACCTGCTACAAGAATATGAAGACATTGATGAACTGGGTAATGATGTTAGCGTTCATTGTCAGCTATCTTTGGTAATATTTAAAGTTCTTTGAAAATGCCGTTTCTTGTCTTTCTTTCGTTTCTTTCCGTCGCTTATATATAGTGCATTCAAAACTTTTGTGTTTTAGAGTTCTGGCTAGTCTCAATGCACAAAAATTTAACCGACAAGAATTCCAAAGCCTGTTTTGAAATGTTTTCATGAAAAGTAAATGTGTCTCTATTGCTTCTTATCAAATCTTCTCATAAACACCAAAAATATCTGCTTCATGTCAAAGTTAAAATACTGAAGGTATGTGAAAAACTTGCCAGCCAGCTTCTAATCAAACTTTACTATTTGGCTTGCAAAACACTTAAGCATAAACCCCAGTTTATGTCTGTCTGTCTCTCTCTCTCTCTCTCTCTCTCTCTACCTCCCCTCCCTCTCTCTCTTTCAGGAGGGGGAGGAAATTCCTGGCGAGGGTGCTGTGAGTTGTTGCTCTCTGCCTGCAGGTACAGACCGGCCTCCTCTGTCTGCCTGTCTGCAGATATCATACCGCGACGTGATCTGTTTAGCTGCCTGACTTAATGCTCACCTGCTCACGCGCCTCCGGCTGTGTGTGTGTATGTGTGTGTTAGTGTGTTTGTGTGAGTGTGTATGTTGACTTCTTCCGTCTTCTCACAGCTGGAATGGCGTCTCCCTCTTTATCTGTTGCCCTGCGATTACAGACACACACACACACACACACAGAGAGAGAGAGAGAGAGAATGATAGATGGACTTTTACTACACTGACAAGATATTTACAAATTTAAGCACTATTAATCTTATATCAAACAATATGCAGTCAACAAGAAAACACACCCACACACACACACACAAACACACACATCAACACACATACAAGGACTGACAAGCAGGACTGGAAAGAATGGGGCTGATTACAGTAATTGAGGGAAAGGAAGTGAGGAAGATAGGATTGTGCATGCACTTGAAACATGCACGTAAAACCTCCTAACATTTTCAAGCATTCACCGAAACTAGCTAAACCTGTTTCAAACATGCATTTCCATCTAATTTGAACACATTTCACTCTGTGGAGGTACTTTGGACATCTCAATTCAATAGAACAAGGGGTTCGATTCCCACTGATGCTGAAACTGCATGCCTTCCTCTTTGTTGAGGGGCTTTGGATGTACCGTGTGCCAAGTGGAGTATTATGTTGTATATTTTTTCGTTATTTCATCCTCAGGTTGTCACAACGTTGACAGATGCAAGCTGACGTGTACAACCACGCTCACAAAACACACACAGACACACTTGAGTAGGGGTCTGAGTCCAGCTGGAGGTGGTCTCCTGCCAAACCTGCAGGCAGGCTGACTGTATTCATATTCATCACACACACACTGATTGGAACTGACAGGACACACACAAACACAGACACACACACACATCTGGGGGGGAAAAAAATCTACTGGTGAGTAAATCAATATTTCAAGGGCAACCTGCTATCCTAAAAAAATAATAACAAGAAACTATGTTGCCACTTCTGCTGCATTATTCTTTCTTTGACTCCTTTTTCTGCTATTTTATCTATCATCGCAAAAGCTGCACTGTACATCTAAAAGAGAGGTAGGGCAATTGAGAGAAGAGAAACAGAGGTGGATGTGCGAGAGCAACAGCCACAATTGGATGTAGACTAGCAGCGGTGAGTAATGTCGTGAGAGGGGAGTGGACTGGGGGGAGAAAAAGCGAGTAGAGAATAATAGCCAATAGGCAGGGAGAGCGACAGGGGCAAGAGAGATGGAAGAAGAGTGCCCCTCTCTCTCTTTCACACACAGATACACAAAGCAAAGAGAGAGAGACTCCGCAGGGTGCCAAATAATAACCTTCCTTGTCATTATCATCGCCCAGCCAAACCGCTCTCAACTCCTCCTCCACCTCCTTCCGTCTTCAACACAATCATTGCCCTATCGTTTACAGTGTGCCGCTAAATGGGAACATCAATAGACACATCCATTAGCAGTGCGACTCCTTTCCTCTCTGATTCTCAAGTGCTTTAATAGCCAGCATACACACACACACACACACACACACACTCGCATGCCGTACCTCGGCCGACTGTTAACCAAGCTAGCCCCGCGCAGGCAAAGCCGAACTGATGGAGTGTGTCATTACAGCTGGTTAGTAACACGGTTGCTGCGAGGGAGGTGCCGTCACTTAACCTGAAGCTAGAAACCAAGAGGACGGGGATGCGTTCTGATTTAAGTAGCTTTCGTACAAGCAGCAATCACAGAATTTCTTCTTTCATTTATGTAAATATTTATTTTGCTCACGTCTGTTGTAATATCTGCTGTAATATCTTTGCAAAATTGTTTTCATTGAATTTTCTGTTAAAGCCTTTGTAGGTGGCACCCTTTAGTCTTTTCAGGCAACCACTGCTCATGATGACTACCAAAGTCAATGTCACTTTGGGAGAAATTTTCCCTGGGAAGGACCTGCCAGACATCAGTGTGTATAAAAATCAAACCATACTAAGTTAAGCTAAGTAATAGACATACTCAAAAAAACACTGATTTGTATGGTTACAGGAAATTTAGGCCATTAGACCACCTTTAAACACATGAATCCAAACTGACATATAACTGAGTGAGTGTTAACTTCTCTTCTCATCTATTTTAGTTGATATAGTACAGTTATGTTTTTTCCTTTGCATACCTCAATGCAATAACCTGGAAATATACTGGACAGGTCAATGCAAATTACTTATACTTCGTGTTAACATATGAGCTATTATGTTCAAAGCAGTTCATAAAACACAAACATAGAGGTTCGTGGATCACGAAAGGACAAACTATCATCTAAATGTTATTTGCAAAGGCCAACAAATAAATTCCTAATCAATACAAACAGGCCAATATTATTTAGAACTGCATTAATAACTTGTTAACCTCAGTCTGAACTTGTGTCTCTGTAACTGTAGATGGAAATTAACATGGGCAGCTTTTTGACAGTTTAATAAACATCAAAATAAACCCTGCCCGATCCAGAACAGTAGCGAAATGAAAAAGAAGAGATAAGGAGGGACAGGGAGGGCAAATGCGGCGGGTGAGAGGGAGGGAAGGGTTTCCCACAATACCGCCTCACACACTGTAATTTCAGCACGCATGTTTTTTTGGATGGAGGGCGAAGCAGGATGCTGGGAAGCCTGGGAGGGGCACAGGGTGGGTAAGGGGTGGTTGGATATGGGGGTTTGTGGGATATGTGGTGCAGCTGTGACTTGTGGAGATTGGTTTTGACTGAGGGAAATAGAAAAAAAAGGGCTTTATGCATGCATACACACACACACGCACACACACTCACTCAAACACAGACACACTACAAATCGCATGCAGGACAGCAGAAGCATACAATTACTAATTATATAAAACGACATTGCATAAATTAAGATGTTTTTTCATAGCCTATTTAAGACTCTACCACACCAAGAAACTACTTTTCCGGGTGTATCCTGTGATTACCGAATTCGGCTACATTTTCTTTTTTTAATTACAGAATTTAAAGTATTTTTTTAATACACTGAGTCAATTTGTCTTTAAATTACTCAAAGAGAGAGGAAAAAAAAGCAGAGGATAATGAGTTTGTTTTCTCACATTCACACCATTATTATCCCCCTAACTCGGTGGTCTCTGATTCTTACCGTAAAAGGCGTGTGTGTGTGTGGCAGGGTGGGGGTAGACCGCAGACAGACTCTAGGTGCCGTTGTATGTGTGTGTGTCTGAGCGTGCGTGCCTCCTTCGTGTCTGGACCTGGGCAGAAAACAAACAGAGGAGAAGAAAGCACAGGATAAATTCAGGTGTTGTTTGGTAAACCATGTTATTAAAATGTCACACACACACACACACACACACACACACACACACACACACATTGCGATGTGCACTTAAATTATTCAACAGCACTGACTGATGTGTGTAACCGTATTAGCTGTAATAAGTCTGCGCTTCATCCTCTCTGAAGAACTCACACATGATTTTATATGTACAACAAGCCCACTCACAACCCAATTCCTATATACACTCTGGGTGGTCTTGAGAAACAATGACAAGGAGCCGCTGTGTGTGTACGTTAACACATGATTCATCTTAAAAGAAAAAAAGCTTGGACATAGGCTAGGTGGTTTGAAGAAAAAAAAAAAAACGGTGATGCCTCAAGAACAAGAGCCCTGCTAACACAAACATAAGGAATCAGCCTTTGAAGCCACTTTGCAGTTTGTAAAATCAGATCTAGATAAACATGCTCCGTGACTGTGTGTTACGATAGCTATCGTGTCTCCTCTAATAAAGCTAAATTGTCAGTGATGTGCTTTTAAGCACAATAAAGAATTTCGGGATAATGACAGCACTGACTGTAATGTATTATATACAGCTGGATTTCTGACATGCCCACAGCACGTTGAGGCTGGGAGTGATGTGCACTGAGACAGAATGAATTATCAAAAAGAATTTCTGAGTATAACTTCTTAAGTTGACCAGATGGAATGGGAGAAAAAAAATCAGTACAACCTGGAGATGTAGCAGAGAGCAACTAATGTAGCCTTCCTGGTATTCAACCTATACATAATTTACTTTGTTTGACAAAAGATATTGAGTATACAAACAATTAGCAAGTCGACAACTTGCATTTAACTTGTTTTCAATAAGACATCAAAAGAAAAGTATTATAATCATGTATCATTGTGGAAAAGAACATAACATTGTCCATGTGTATAAAGAAAAAAGAGAGAGAAAAAACTAGGGCTGCAACTAACGATTATTTTCATTACTGATCTGATTCTATTCATCCATTAATAATTTGGTATATAAAATGTCACAAAATAGTGGAAACTTAGGTCATAATCGTCCTAAACCCAATATGACATATTCAATATACTTGTTTTTGCTGCATCACAATTGTTGTAGATATTTTTTTTATCAATTGTATACTACATTAATCAACTCGTAATTTCAGCTCTAAAGTGAATAGTGGTATAAATCGTTCATGGTCCTGATAATAATTCTACTCTAATGCATTTCAAAGAGATCACTTTTTAATCATTGGCAACTCAAAATGCAGATTGAGACTAACAATACAAAAATCCTCCCCATTAGAGCATTAGGAATGTGTGAAAATTATGAGTGCCCCGTGACTGTACAACATCCTCTGACATTCATATTATTATTGTTATTATTAGTAGTAGTAGTATCAGCTCCTATCACAGTTTTTCCATTAGTAGGTTATGTTATTCTCTGCAACCCCTGATGTTTTCTTTGATTCAAATGCCATTTGGTCTCCTATTGTGACTAATGATGAGTCACTATATACTCTGAATGGTGCGGGTTCATTTGTGGTCAATGAGCATATTAAAGTTCCTGTGAAAGACATATTCATTATCAATGTTTTTTACCCACTTCAACCCTAGTAATTTATTTTAAGCACCCTGCTGTTTGTAGTTTTATAAAGTCCCTCAGAGTCTTTTTTTACTTCTTTGGTTCAAAAACTCTTGTGATTGGTCATAGTTAAATGTGGCAGCTACAAGACTTTCTTACTTCAGACATCTAGAAGTCTAAAATGCTGTGTTTTAGCTATGCTATGTATGTCCTAACCAGGTCCATTTTGGTTTGTGTAAACATCAGGAATGGAGTTTTGGATCTTAAATATGATCCAGGACCAGGCTCCCAATCCTAAACTACAAATTTGTGTGCAGAGGCTGAGGCCAATGTCAACCTTGGCATTTCATTATATGTAGTAGTAATCTTTTATGCTCATATTAATTATTTACTTATTTTTCTTTCATATTGCAAGCTCTGAGTCCCATGTATTACTAAAAGCAGTCCAGACTCTAATTAAACCCATACTAAGAAAATAACACCACAGCTGTAATAAATGGACCTGAAATGTCCTAGAAATTATATATACAATCTGAAAATCTAGTATCAAATGAAAACACACACAGAAAAAGAAGAAAAAACCTGTCCAATGGCTTGCTAAAATAGACCCTGCCAGTGAAATATGGTTCCTCTCAGCCGGATCTACATTCATAGAGAAAGAACAATGATTGACCTTGGCCAGATGAAAAATTGCCTCAATTGTTCATACTTCACTTTGATGTTAAATACAGTGAAACAAGGCAGCACAGGAAAGCTGCTTGCCACAGCCCAAGGAGAAATTAAACCTTTTATGCCGCCTAAGAGCTGCCCCCTTCGTTTCTCTTTCTAAAGTTCCCCTCTGTTCAATTGCCTGAATCTGCCAGAATATACATGCAATTTACTATTTCTGTCCTGCCAAACTAATGTATCCTCCAGTTTCTGCTCTTGTTTTATGTTTTTCCCTAAAAATCCCTATGTTTTTTTCAACTACCTCCTCCTATCTCTCTCATTCATTTTTTCTCACTCCCACTTCTATCCCCATCTCTCTTTCTCTGCTCCACTAAGCAAACTTGCCGAGACCAGGGAGGGCACCTCCGTCATTAAGGTCCCGGCACGGAGTCACCAATTTATACTCTCATTAACAGATCCATGTGCTGCACAGTACATTACAAAAAAAAAAAAAACATCGGGACCACCCACGTGTTTAGGCCCCCCTCAAATGCAACAATAAAGATGTGTTCTCTCTGCTGGCTAAATGAGCCAATTCACAAGATCGGAAAAGTTGCAAATTAAGGGATGTTTGAGGGTTTCATGGTACACAGGGTGTTTATGTGTTAACGAGAAGATGCTATTAATCAGGACTGAGTGCTTGAAAAGCCCTTGTTGTGGGATTGACTGGGCTCGCAGTTTTTGTTCTTTTTCCACAAAGTAAAGGAAGCCTTGTGCAGTTACAGTTAGTTTCCAAATGTATCCGAAAAGAGACTGTGTGTAAACCAGTTTGATGTGTTTAACTTTTATACTGACACAAAGACAAACTGTGCTGTTAAGAGAATATTGAATCCTACATAACCTGAAAAACATTTGTTGCTTGCTGGGCATGACTTGTGCGGTTCTGTATCAGAAGAATGACAGTCACAAGATCCTAACACCTTATTTCTAGTGACCCAGGTGTCATTTGTCTCTTTACTTACTGCTACAGAGACTGCAGGGTCAAGCAAATAAATACAGCTAGAGGTTATTAATGAACGCCCCTTGCAATATTTAAGGCAAAGTCTGTACTTGTGGCCCAGCACAATGGGAAAATACAAAAGAAACATTGCAAGGCTTAAGGGGTTCCAACTTCCACTAGGCCACCCAGAGTTGAAATGTAAGATACCCCATAGAGTAAGAGATGCCTGCTCTCTACGGAAAAAATCCTTCCTCAAGCTGAATAAGTGCACTTGCTTGATGAAATGCAGAGGGCACTGACTCAGATTGTTCTTTGCAAAGTAAAGAATCATTTGTAAGTGTACCTCTGTGGATGTCAGCTATGTCTGCCAACTGCTTTGATCACAATTCTGCTTTTTTTTTAAAATCTGCTGCTCCATAGACAAACAACCAACTGGGGGCACCAGACCAGGAAACAAGTGACATGACTGGTTTCATTTCTTTACCTTTTATGTCTGAACATATACACTGGTCTTTGTGCTTTGTCAGGATATGTCTGTGTTCTTACCATATTGTGCCTGTTTGTAATAAAACTAGTACAGACATGTAGAGCTAGACCACCCAGAGCAGTTACCCAAACACCCTCCTTTCTCACAAAAAAAAAAAAGTCACTAGTCTTAATTATATCCATCCTCTGGGCGTGTCTTTCTGCCCAAAACAGACATCTGAGCCCCCCCCCCAAACAGGCCACAAACCTCACCGAGGCCTTATGGAAAGAACTTTTTGGTGAACACATTGACCTTAGATGGAAACAAACCTATTCAGTAGGAGTTATTTTCACTAAGGTTACAAAGACATAATTTATTGTTGCATTATCTCCTCCTTTGCCATAAGATTTGTATGACCCTAGACTTTAATAGTTCCTGCAGAGGTTCAAAATCTGGATGTTAAAATCAAGTGGTGAAATGTTTACCATATCAAAAGAGATGGGATGAAATACCAATAATATCAAAACCTGCACAAAGCCAGGCACTTAGATAAAAGACAAGAGAAGACAAGACAACATGTGTGCGTGTATACATGCACTTTGTAATAAGGAGGCGTCTGCTCCAGGGAGGAGGTTGTTGTGACTGCACTGTTCTTTTTCATGATCTATAATTTTCAAGCTGGCAGTGTGAGGGGGCAACCTAGTGGTGTGCACATAAAGAGGCATAGAGAGAGAGAGGGAGAGAGAGAGAGTCTACACAGGCAGGACCCCAGCAACTATCTGCCAGACAAATCCTCCCTGGGCTTTGATCCTCTGCCCACTTCTCTCTCTGCGGTTTTTGTTTTCAGGCAAACAACTGTGATGTTTAGCTGAAGTGCGATGACATTCCAAGACCCCCCCAAAAAAGGAGGACTCTTAAAATCTGCTGCAACCCCCCAAAAAAAGGAACACGAGCTAAGGGGCTAATTTAAAACGAAAAAGGTTAAAAATGTAAAAAATGATCATCATCCCTCTCCACTCCTTCCTTCTTAATGTTTTCAATATGCTATCCTCCAAGGATCATGGGGTTAATCTGCTCCTGTTGTACTTTAGCTGAGATGCTATCGAAGGCCATTTGTTCCAAGCAGCGAGGCTAATGACCCTCAGCCGACACTTGGCGTTTGGCCGGGAACTCAGAGCGAGGGAAGGTAAGTAACCTCATATATTCTCGGGGGGCTGAGCTAATGAGAGGGAATGGGAATACGAGCCACGGTCCATCATCTACTTA